TTTTACAAATGTCCACATGAGGACATTGTAGACCATGACATATTTTTACAGGCTTCTCGTGGACTCGGGCTCCACCCATATTCAGCAGTTGAGGTTAGAGACAGAGACAAAGAGATTCAGAGAGAGAAGGAAAACGGTGAAGCGACTTTATTTATTACAGCATAAATGATTTCAATCATACTATTTAAACATAGTTCTGTATTTTTTGTACCGGAAATATCAATCATTTTTTTGGGAGTTTATTTTTAATTATGTATATCCTGGGAACATCGAGTTCTGTGTGGATTTATTGTCTCTTCGTGCTGCTGGATTGTTTCTGGGAAACGGTTTATGGACACCTCTCCTACTCCATCTCTGAGGAGGTGAATCGTGGGACTGTTGTCGGAAATATCGCTAAAGATCTCAACCTAAATGTCCAGGAGCTTGAGTCCCGGATGTTTCAGATCGTTGCTGGGCCAAAGGCAACATTTTTCGAGGTAAATCTAAAGACGGGTGCTCTCTTTGTTAACGAGCGAATAGACCGCGAGGTTCTTTGTGGTGACGAAGCCAAATGCTCAATGAATGTAGAAGCAGTCATTAATAATCCACTAAAACTGTACCGCTTTGAAATTATTATATTAGATGTGAATGATAACGCACCATCATTTCTCAGCACAATACAGTTGTTGAACATAACTGAGAGCACAACAGCGGGGACTAAATTCCTCCTAAATCCTGCTGAGGATGCAGACGTGGGTAAAAACACTGTTAGTAGCTACAAGCTGAGTCAGAATGACTTCTTTGTTTTAGCTAACAACAGAGGAGAAAGTGTGACTCCAGAACTGGTGCTTCAGAAGGCTTTGGACAGAGAAAAACAATCCGTTATCCCACTTACATTAACTGCCATCGATGGAGGAACACCTGCTAAATCAGGTTCTATGACTATATTGATAAATGTGCTAGATATCAATGATAATGCCCCGCTATTCAGTCAAAGTCTGTACAAGGCCAGAGTGTTTGAAAATGCTAAAATAGGTACTGTAATTATAAAAATAAATGCTACAGATTTAGACGCAGGACAGAATGGAGAAGTGTTCTATTCACTAAATAAAATAGGTCGAGGGAAACAAACCGACCTGCTTGTTATAGACGAAAAATCAGGAACTGTGACAACCAAACAAATTATTGACTTTGAGGAAAATGCTGTTTTTGAAATTCGAGTTCAGGCACGCGACGGAGCTTCCTCACCGATGACGTCACATGCCAAATTACTAATTGAAGTGTTAGACGTGAATGATAACGCTCCTGAAATCACAGTAACTTCTCTGTTAAACACTGTAAAAGAAGACGCCTCCACTGGCACAGCTGTTGCACTTGTTTCAGTATCTGATAAAGACAGTGGTAAAAACGGTTTAGTGAACTGTAAAATATCCAACATTGTCCCTTTTAAATTAGAATTAAATTATAAGAACTACTATTCATTAGTTGTGGACGGTCCCCTGGACAGAGAGAAAGAAGCTCAGTATAATATCAGCATCACTGCCACAGATGAGGGCAGCCCACCTCTCTCCAGCACCAGAATCATTCAGGTCCATGTTTCTGATGTCAATGAT